GTTTCGAAATTACTTCTGCCCTTGCACTTGCTCAGCTCTTCGATACGGATGGATATCGATGTCGGTTGTGTTTGATTATTCGCTATGCTCCGTTGGCGATTTCAAATTTCATTGTGAGTGGAGGAGCACTAACCAGATTTGATGCTATGATTCACTTGGTCTTGAGTCCAGTTCGAGTCGCTGTTGTTTATCTCCCCGATCGAGTATTGCGTTACCACATACCGATCGCTTCTGTTCGAAGAGTTCAGCCGGGGTGGACAGAAAGCCAGTATGAGTGCAGACCTAACTTTTCAATTGACTGATCAAATTTACCCTGCAAACAGTCGATATGATAGCGGAACGAGAGAGTTGCAGGCAGGTTTCAGTGGGAAAAAGATAGTAGTCGCAATGCGGGTTTATGTATTTGTATTAACTACAAAATCATAAAAACCCTATGGATAGTCAATTATAACATTTAAGACGCAGAGTCAACATAAATATTGCTTTGCCTAAGCAACTTAGCTGAGCACGTGATAGGTAACATTATATTATTATTAAGTTATAACTGAGCTGCCTGAAATTTAATAGTTAATAGTTACACACCTCAAGTCAAAATTTGTTAATATTATTTTGGGTGCCCTGCTGGCGCGGTTCTTTTTGTTTACTTTGGTAATTAATACTGCGATACTTAAGATACTCTGGGTATATGATGGTCGAGATCACATCGTTTTCCCCAGCCAACTTGCACTACTGTTTGCGACGCTTCTCCTAGGCCGAAACCAGTTTGCGGCTTTCATTGACAACGCATTGTTGTCCGAGTGCACATACTCGTGGAAAAACATACAGGTGAGCTTCTCATGCTTGAACTATCCAGAAATGTGAAACACATTTTATGTGGTGCATTGATGAGGTGAAAATTATGTTTTCTAGCTTATGAAAACCAAGAAATCTATTCACTATCAACAGGATTTGGGTTGAGCAGTATATTAACGTTTTTAAAAATATTTCCGCGAAGTGGTTGAAGTTATAGAAGCTAGACTGTACAGCTGATTGATGGCTGGGTGCATGGAGTTCCTGTGCAATGTCCCCCCGATGCCACCCTCAGTTTGAGATGAGTGTTAATTGCAGGAACCCAAACCGGTTGTGAAACGAATCGAGCCGAGTGGCCCGGGCCCAAAGCAAAGCCAATTACGCCACCAAATAGATGCGTACAACATATTTCTTGGTTCATTATGTAGCACCATTTGATAATGAAAGCTGCATAGTGAAAAGTGGCCCCAGCCCCTGATTTTGGACCTATGAATCTTACATAAATCCACGCGAAGCTCGTAGCCTCCTCACGTATTCGTTAGATTAACCGCCTTTGATAACGACAGATATGCCATCTCCAAAACGTGTACACCATTTATCTGACAGACGTACATAGAGTGTGTTAGGTGTACTAGGTTAGTTCAAATTGTATCTCAACACAACTGTACGAATGATAAAAGATTCGCAGAAAGAGCTGTTTTCACGAATGCGGCACTGTACAAATTGGGTTAAATCAACGAGGAAAGTACATATATAATTTGCAATTACAAAGCCCTAAGATAAAACATTTTAGTTCAACTGTCGACAGTTGCGCTTACATGTCTTTTAAAATCATTTTACTTCAACGTTCCTCAAAAAATGTATGTGGCTACTTTTGAAAATCACATGAAATAAAAAAACATTACAAATGGAGCACCTATACACCAATTCGCACCTTTGCGTATGAAAATATAGATACAAACAGGAGTGCCATAGAATCAGAATTAAAAAGAAAGCTAAAGTTAGTGTACTTTTAAAAACAACCAACATAAATTCTTTATTGCTTGTTAATATGGGTCTCTTTCCGGTCGATTCATAATTATCAGTTGCCAACGATAATTTTAAAAAAAGGCAAAAGTATAAATAGTAGACTGAAAAATATTCAAGAATTCCCAAATGACTAATTTACAAATCAGAAACGATTGTAATACATTTAAAGAAAGCCCGTTAAAAGTTTATATACAAGCCTGAACACTGGTTGCAAAACTACTACTGTCGAATTATTGAAGGTTTTAGCTGACTGCAGGGTATGCAATGTCGAAACATCACGTCCACTGTATTGGATCGCAGCTGATACTGGGCGAGAAGGAGAGGCCAAATCGCGAATAGGAAGAATTGGCACATCGATGGTTCTTTACCCTTCGCTCTTATAAATTTTGAAGTAAGTTTGGTGACGAATGCTGCTTTTCGCTACATTTACAGACATATGTACATATGTACATACGATGTATTGCATTATTTTTGATGAACTTGCCTGCTTTACACGCTGTTTGCTGATCTGTGGGCTTTAATATTGTTATGTTTTGTGTGATAATCTCGTGATGTATTTTAAGCTGCTGTCGAGTTTAGGGGTTTGTGTTTTTCATTAACATTTGCATGGCGACGCGACGCTTGCGCTCTGAATTCACAGACATACATACACATGCATATGTATAGCTGTTTATATACATATGGCCTTGCACGATTTTTGGAGTTTGGAGCGATCTTTTCTGTCACAAAAGAAAAATGCACTTCAATTTAGACTTATTCAGCGAGCGCCGCCTGTGTTGTTGTTTCTAACAACACAATTAACACAACTGTAAATAACGAAAAAAGTTATATATTCTCAGGTACGCACACTCACGGAGCGCTCTCTTTTGCTTGCGCAATACATAAAAACACACACTTACGCACCGCTTTGCACGTTTATTCTGCTCTTTTCTTTATTTATTTATTTATTTATTTCTATCTAGCAACGCCAGCTTTTTGCACTTGAATATATATGTATGTATGGATATGCATATATTTGTTTTTTTTTTTTTGCCGCACAGCTGTTAGCCTGTCAAATGGCGCCTTTCAGGTGGCCGCTGATCCACAAAAATAAAAGACACGCGGAAAAGCGACGCGTGTCTCCGGCCGAAAAACAATAACAACAATGGCTATTTCCTTACGATTACCACATGCGCGCAATTGTCCAAAAACGGCGACGTCACTCCCGCTCGCGAAAAGTCGAATGGCACGACTTCAGTTCGGCTAAAATCAAAATACAACTATTTGCACAACGGCGCGCTAAAACAACTCCGTGCGCGGGTGACTAGCGTTCAACTGAAAAAGCCAAAGCTGATCTCCGGTCCAAAAAGCTCGCTGGTGCAAAGAGCGCGGAAGAAGAGAAAAAATTGGTGTTTAAGAGAAGAGCCACTCTCTCGACTTTGTACATGTGCGTGTGTGTGTGCTGCGGCGCACTGTGGACAATTTTACCTCTTTTGTTGGCATAAATTAATATCTCTTAAGCCCATCAAGATACGTTGATAATGGTTTTTTTCTAATCTTGTACCCTTACAATTATTTCGGCCTCTTACCCCCTTCCACAATTTTTTTTTTTACTCAATATATTCTTCACTATCTATTTCAACGTTAAATAAAAGGTCATTTTCGTCTTCCTCTTCACAACAATTCAGTGCCTTCCCGCGGAACAGGAAGTTGCTTATGTCTTTGAATGCGCCTGCTAAAACTCAGTGGTAAATGAAGGGGTACGGAATTTAATTTAATTTACAAGAGCTGCTAAAGGGTATCAGAGGTGTTATATACTACTGGAATTACAATTAACGACGAACTTTATGATGTCAAAACGAAAACAATTGTTTAAGAATTTCTTCGTTGACAGCGTCTGTGCTGAAAGAGAGTGAAACATCAAAACTGATAGATAGATAGTCTTAGATAGAAATAGAGTGTGGAGCTCATCTCCCAAGATTCTTCAAAACCATTCATTGTTTAGATTTATACTTTTGACAAGCATAGTTGTTCAAAGTTATGAATGTTTACCTTCCGGTTCAAAGATGATGTGGGTCATATTGCATACACATGCATCTTAAATTATCTGGAAAGTTCAAGGATGTAATGGCTATGAATAGGCTAGCTACTGAATAGGCTACTATATGTCAATAATTTCACCTAATAACAATTTCTTCATCAACAAGGGCGTCGATCCCAGCGATTGGCTGATTAGCGCAGTTTGTTTGCTTTTTAAATGTTAAATTAAATACGCACATGCTCGGTACAAAATTTTCCTGTATATACTTTGTCGACAAGGCAGAAAGATCTTTTCAGTTTGCCATTTTGCGATTTATAATGAGTCACGCGACTCCACTGCCACTCCGCTGACCAACAAGTTTGGCCCACGGAGACGGCGGAATTAATTACTGGACGGCACGTCGATTAGCTGCGAGCCAAAAAGCAGCCCTAATTGAGATTGAGCCCGACCGCCTTAGAAGCTAAATTTAAATTAGACAAACACGTCGCACAAACGTTTATGAGGACCGAACACATGTGTATTCGCAACATAATCAAGCAGACCAACATAGTTTTTGGATACGTTATGAATGAACGTGCGATCAACCAGCGACCAGATCAGGGACAATCTTTCAAAGTTCGTATGCCGATTGGATGACATCATTTATGAGTTTTTAAATAAAGTTCAGCCCAAGCGGTACGGCAATCTCTTGCCTTGACCTGCCTTATGGTAAATATTACCAGCACTTCCTAACGGTTGCTGAAAATATTTAATATATTTTTAATTTGTAATATCTGTCCCCAATGTGGCAACCAAGCGATGCACATGTTTGGCAAATACTGAGCTGAAACTTTCCTGAGAAGATATTCTTTTCAAGTAGAATCACTATTGTGTGCAAATAGTATTTAAAATTACGTCTTAACATTTTTTTTTTGTAAATACAGTTATTGGGCTGATAAGGAATCAAGTCGAACTATAAGATTTGGAACATGTATATCTACGGTTAAGTCACACGAATTGATACTCCGATCTGGCAAAATGTATAGCTGACTTTTAGGCCAAAACCAAATTATGCGACTAATGTCGCTTGCTATCTTATCGACGTCTGTATCTGTTGTAAGGTCATATTCAAAAGTCTTTAAACTTTTCGATTGATAAGATTAGCATTTTGACATGCGACTGCGAGTAGAAGATAACGTCAATGAAGATCAGTTTGAGATCATACCCGCATCAAAATGCGAACTTCCAGCGGAGATAGATGTTTATTTTATTCGATATTTTTATTGCTGCTTATCTGCAATTTGGAAAGGATCTCAGGTGACGTAAGCCCGGCAGATGTGAAATCGATAGAGCCATATATACCCACAATTTGGGAACGGTTTTTAAGCGGTGTTAGAAAATATCCCTGGAAAACGAATGTAATGGAGAAGGAGAGCCCAGAAAATGCTAAAAGGAGATCACTTCTATGGCAAAGACTAACGATGTCCACAGTGCTTTAATAAAAATATGTATTGAAACATGGCAAATATTTGAAATAAATATATATGCTGTATTGCAAAATAAAATAGCATTGACCGATCAGGTCCTGGTTTATTAATCAGTTTTGGAAGCACTTGACATTTTTCTCCATCCCGCAAAAGCCGGACTTCTGATCCCAGAAGAGTCCTTTGGGGCAGGATGTGAGCACTGGCATTCCTCCGATGCAGATATAGTACTTGCTGCAATCCTCCGGATGGGACATATAGCTCTGCTTGGCGGACGGACAAGTCAAGGCGTTGGCTTCAGCTCGAGGTGGAGATGGTGGTGTCACAGGAGGCAGCTCGGTAATCTCTGGATCCGTAAGGAATTGCTGCAGGGTGCTGTACTCACTCGATCCGACAACATAGCAAACGGTTACTGGACCTTCACTGCTCAATGTGGGCACTTTCACAGTGGTTTTGACATCCGTATGCGATTCTAAAACCCGGGACTCCCCATAGCAAACGGCCTGATCGGCCGACTGGCACTCGGACATCTCGAAGTTCCACGCTGTGCCACGCCCACACTGATGACGATGGAGATGTCCGTAGGCGCAGATGAAGTACAGTCCACAATTTCTGGGGTGCGGAAGGAAGTAGGCTCCATAATGACGGCACTCGATGTGCTCCGGATCGTACTTCTCCATGGGATTAACCGGCTGACCACTGGTCACATCGACGGCCACAAAGACGGGCCTCGGTTTGTGGGGCCACCAGTTGAGCTCGGAGTTATCCGCCAGGCTACTGGCGGATTCCACAGAGGGCACGGAACGACAGTTGGCATTCTCCGGCAGATCGCAGACCGCAAGTTTCTCGTTGAACTGGAGGCCCTGATCGCAGTAGAGGAGAGTGGGAACACGCGAGCAGGTGAAATATCCATTACAATCCAGCGGATGCGGCACCAAATCGCCCTCTTGGCGTCCCAAGCAGATCTGAATATGGGAATTGTATATAATTATATCTGCTGGTAATGGATCAGAGCAATTTAAGATGACCAACAGATTGATCAGTTTATATATTCATACTCACATGGCTGAGGTCACCCACTGGACTTCGAACTTTGGGTAGTTCCCAACTTCGGTCCGCAACGTTGCCTGCTCCCAACTGGATGAAGATGCTCGATGCTAGGACAAGTGCCCACGAGTATTGCATGGTAGCTACTAGTGCCCTTTGCTTCTGATAATGGTTCTTTGCGACTCCAAGTTACCTATGTTAATGGTTCTGCCGACTCATGACCGACCCTTTTATAAGGTCGATGAAATGGGTGTGGCATTTGTAAGAGCTAATCGAAAACTTGTGTTTACCATCTACGCAGCGGTCTGCAAGATCGAAATGTTCAAGTTTTCAGATAGCATTCAGTAAAGCAATGCGTGATATACTCACTTCTAAAAATACCAGACGATCATAAGTCATCTAAATATATATCCTTATCAATTAGTTTCGTTGGTTCCAAAAGTGGTGGCGTAAAGCTAACAACCTTCGTCGTAATACAACTTTGACGTCCTGGTCAAGCTGCCACAGCAATCTTTGCAACTATTGAAACTTTATATGCCAAATCCATACGTTTCGCATTAGAAAGTAAGTGGCAAAATGTGGTTATCTATCAGGGAGGACAGAATATCTTTATTTTAGTTGGTGACATCTCTTTGGGTATAAGGAAAATCACAACAATCTGCTTGCGAACATAGCTTTATTGCTTTATATTAATACTGAATACTATAATAGGTGGTACATAGGATCGTGTTTCAGTTAGTCGTCTTCCGTTGAGTTCCCTTCTAAAAGTCCTTCAAGTTGACTGGACCTCTTAGGGGGTGACCGTAGTACTACCAATTCCGCCCTCGCCAGCTCCAAAGCAAGCTCCGTTAGTCTCCACATACTGGCTCAGGTATTGGTCGGACTTGCATCCCTGGGCTTGCTCATCGAAGAACATATCTGAAGGGCACGTGGTTAAAGTGTTCTGGCCCTGACTGTTGCAGTAGTAGTAGGTGGAGCAGTTGTCCGAATTGACGGCGTTTACAAACATAGTCGTAGCATACTGACAACGATTGCATCCCTTCTCCGGAGTGGCGTTCTGGCGGAGCACACAGCCCACTTTCTCGACGTCGTAGTAGTAGCCAGTGGGACAGTACGTGGCCACTTTTTCATTGTTCGTGCACACATAATACGTTCCACACACTTCGGGATCGGGTGACTTAGCACCGTTCGGGGAGCAGGAAACTGGGGCATCGCCCAGCGTTACATTGGTCACACGGCTGCAGACATTGGGGGTTTCGTAGGTACATTCTCCGGTGAGTACGTTGAATGCCTGCGGAAAAGAGTAAATCACGTACACTTAAGGATACAATTGGTTCGCATTATGTATTATGATCGATGGGCCTGTGCAAGCGGAGTACGAGTATCTAGAGGATTAGCATGTAGGACATTCACATGTAAATGCTCGAGGTAAATGTAAAGTCGAAGCAATGTGGTTTTGGGATTAGATTAGATTCTGTACGCTTGCAATTGGTAACTCACAGTTTGTGACTGCAAATCGCATTTAGACGTGTGCAAAACAATTCCAGTGGAAGTGGACTGGCAGAAGTGCCAGGTGGAGCAGTTACCAGTATCGCCGAAATATATACCAGGTGGTACGACATCGCAGAGGGATTCGAGAACGATTCCATCAGTAGATTGGGTGTTGGAGCAGGATCCATAAACGCAGCCCTGTGTGGTTACATCGAATTTCTGGCCACTCGGGCAGTTTCCAGAGCCCTCCGACTTGCCATCAATGCAGTAGTACCATCCACCGCAAACGCCAGTGTTTGGCACCCAGGTCTGTGTCTTGCCTGCACAGGGATTCTCAACGCCCCAGTAGCAGGCCACCTGGTCGCTTGGAAAGCAGGAGCCTATCTTGTAATCGTACGAGTAGCCTGCCTGGCACGAGGACAACACGGGTCCGGTGGACTGGCAGACGTAGTAGTTCTGGCAGGACACTATGCTGCCCAGCTGGGTTCCGACGCTCACCGCCGAGCAGACGGCCGTAACGTTGTAGTTTCCTTCTATAATCGCGGCGCCGAGGGCTTGGCCGCCCATCAGGCACAGGATCGTTGCCAGTAAAAGATTGCCTGCAAGCCAGAAATCACGCAAGTCAATTAGCGAAAATCCTTCGGATTATTCCAAAGGTCCCAGGTCGTCTACCATGTGAACACTTACCTGTCATCGTTAGTTGGTGATACTTCTTGCGGCTGTTGGGGATCGAATACCACTTGTATCGGCCTATGAAAGGTTGTCGAAGACTGATGGTGGAGTTTTCCCATTGCCTGGTTTTATAGGTCTACGCATCGAACTTGGCCATCTAGATCGTTAATTGAACGCAGATAAGCCCAGCTATTCTCTGGAATTATAGGCAGTGAAACATTGTCAAATTTTATATTTATTCCCCAGATAGACGCTGAACATCTTTTCGGTTTGTTATTAAACCAATTTTAATTAAAGTATAGTTGTATTACCCGCTAAAAGGTCTTTATCGCTCTTTATTTCCTCTGTTCCGCAACTTAATAATTAAAAAAACAATGGACGCAGCCGCATCTTTATCAATGGTGTAGGGCCACCTTGGAAAGTAAAACATCGTGTAGTTCAGCCCAGTGATGTAAGATTATTTAAAATTGGGGTTTCCATTCGGGATAATGTAATGCAACTGAAAACAATACTAGTTTAAATGCAGTGCACTATTTTATATTAATTCATGCTACTCCTTTAAATAAAAGGATTCAAAAACAATTTAGAATTACATTTTTTAATATAAACATATATTTTCGACCTCAAAAACTACACATTCAATCGAATGGACTCTTATTTCTTTAGTATGACGATATCGCCGGCCAGTTAACCTTTTTGATGAAAAAATTGGCGCTCAGGTAATCTTTATTACCAATTGGATTTATTGCCAAATGGAGTCAATAAAGTGTTGAAGGTATTTCCCTGGGATCTTCGTTATGTCGATGGAAATTTTCGTTTATTTTTTCCGAATTGTGGGAATTATTATTAATTAATTCAGGATTTTAGCTTATCTATTTTCTGAGATTCAGCCTAGTAACGAAAATAAATCCTTTAAGTAACGAAAATGCTTCCTTAAGCTCGTTCACACTTTCCTTACTTTAAAGTGGTTACTTTTTATTGACTTGCCTACCTTCAATGGTATTTATCACATTATATTATTATTTACATCCAATATACTTAAATTTTGTTTGCTGAATTATATAACGCCTTTTATTTTTGGCAGAAATGCTATATCAATTATTTTTTTGTGGTTGTACTTGTAGTAACAGATGGAGTTACAGATGGAGTTGCGGATGGAGTTACGGATGGAGTTACGGAAGGAGTTACGGAGGAAGTCGATCCAGAGGAAGTCGATCCAGAGGAAGTCGTCGTCGCCGTCGACGAGGCTCCATCGCTTTCCGTGGGATTACAGCAGTGGAACGTGGGCTCCACACCGTTCACGCAGGATCCGGAGATCTCGTTGAAGTAGTAGTTAATGGGGCAGCTCTCCACCCCCTTCTGGACACCGTTCACGCAGTACAAGTAATCGGAGCAGTTGGTGGTCGAGTAGGCGTTCACGAAGGTGGCAGTGGTGCCAACACATCTATCGCAGTTGTTCCTCGCTTGCATCCTGGTCACACACGCCATCGAGATGGTATCATAGTAGTATCCCGAGGGACAGGTCATCAGCTGATAGTTGCCGGCGGAGCACTGGTAGTACTGGTTGCATGCGGTGGCTGCGATGATCGATCCCGCCGAGGAGCAAGTGGTCGGAGCAGAAACTCCGGTCAGGGACGGATCGTTGGTGACCTGGGCGCAGGACGAGTCCATCTGGTAGCCGCAGTTGCTAGCCTGCACATTGAACACTAGACCAGCTCCGCAGGATCCCGAGTGCAGCACGTTGTCCTGGCAGAAGTTCCAGCCATTGCAGTTGGAAGGGCTGCCGAAGTAGACGCCATTGCTAACGAGATTGCACAGGTTGAGGGTGAACGACTCGCCAGAGTCACTGCCGGAGGACTCGGTGCAGGGATAACTGTTCTGGTACACACAGGCCATTGTGGTGGGATTGAAGTTCTCGCCAGCAGGACAACTGCCCGCCACAGCGCCGGAGGCCCCGCAGTAGTAGTAGCCACCGCAGGACGAACTGGATGCCGCGAAGGTTCCCACCGCCTTGCCCTGACAGGGATCAGCGTTGCTGGTGCAGGTGCTCGGCACAGAGGCCGTGCACTGCTGGGCATTCTTGTCGAAGTAGTAGCCCTGGGGACAGGACAACGCCGTAAACGAGGCTCCCTGGCACTGGTAGTAGGTCGAGCAGTCCGACTGGCTGGCCACGTAGTTGCCATTGCTGACCAGCAGGCACAAGGCGGTGACATTCACATCGGCTGTTGCTGGAGCGGCACAGGCGATCACTAGCGCCACGGCAGCGAGGATGGCTGCTTTTTGTCCACCTGGAAATATACAATATATTCATATTATATTCCAAGGTTTCTGGTTTCTTCCTAAATTACCCATTATTTTGCTTCTTCTTTTGGTGGCTCCTAGTTGAATACTGTTTGTGGTGCATGGACTTGCTCGCCTTTTATTTGCAGTCCAGCCAGGGGTTATCTTCGATCCGCTGGGCTGTCCAAGTTGATCGACGACCCTTCAACACAGGGAATCCACTTTGTGGTATATCGCAGGGTAAGTTAACAAACTTTTTGCATGATCGATGGCCCTTTTGACAAATCAACAAAGTTTTGTGTGGATAAGTGCCTTTCCAGAACTCGGAGTTAGAACATTCATAAATGTAATAATAAGTAAACAAATTTAACGAACTGCTACACTTTAATTTAGAACTTTATAAAGGTTTTATTACTGGCCAAAAAGAAGGTCGAAACTTTGGAATGAGTGGCTTTAAACTATACATGTAGAATATTGATGATAGGTTTATTATAATATATGATACAAAGGCAATTATATATGTTGCGATTCAACACTGAGAATTGAGAGCATACTACCACGGTGGTAGCGCCGTTCAAATTTAACTAACTATTTCTGCAAAAGTTAATATGAATCTAAACATTGAACTCTGTGAGTCATGAAGGAATAACCAAGTCGATTCAACATATTTACGTGCAAAAATGCAGCGCGAAATTGCCCGACTTTCTTCTAATTTACTGTACTTATTTTTATTATTTGACTTTGAAGGTCCTACTCTTTCTTCAGCTAACAATTCTCTCTAATTAATTACAATTTTGCTTCTTTTTATTTCACTCACCACTGGAAGTTCAAGCTCCCAGCGATGAAATCACTCTACACAAATTATTCAACTTAAATTATCTAGTGGAAGTGCAACGAAAAAATTTCAACATTTTCGGAATATCAGTAGAAATTGGGTAACAAATAATAAAATTAAAAACGTTTTGGGTCTATGTCTCTGGAAGCTGCACGTTTAATCTCAACATTCTAGCTTTTGTAGTTCCTGAGACCGAGGCGTTCATACGGACAAGAATATACTCGTATAAACCTTATATGGTCGGATACGCTTCATTCTGCCTGTTACATACTTTTCAACGAATCTTGTACACCCTCTACGAGTAACGGGTATAAAAATCTTTTTTTCCGCTTTTAGCCGGCCTCCATGGCGATTTAGGTCCGATAAAAACCGCCCACTACTAATTTAGTACTATGCCGCGCTAATCACAAAATCTTCACCGAACTCAAAGAGACTTCACTCTTTTACTCATTGCTCCTTATAGATACTTTAAAAGGCCAAAACGGAAAAAATCGCTTCTGTCGCCGCCAGTTCGGCGGTAAACTAGGCCTAGAGACTTTGATCTCGGCCACAGAAAACATGACATTTGCCCCTTTTACTCTCATCCAATCCGAAAATCGCTACCTTTCCCTTTCCCAAAGCGACCGCTAGATGGCGCCACCCAAGGTACTACTCAAACGGTAGACTCAGATACTTTTCTTAGTGCAAGAGCTACAAAGCAATGGCGCTCTAAATACTTAAATGAGTTCGCATTTAAAAGACAACACCTTTATAATTGTGTTACCAGATATATACACGCTAAATTTCAATAGGTTTTACTGTCAACTGTCAATCAATAAATAATTCCATGGATCCCCAAATACAATAAAAACAAGGAAGTGTTCCTTTCTGTTTTTGTTTTCGAAAAAATCAATTAAGCGAAATGAGATTAAAGTAAATTACCATCCTATGATATGGTACTAGCCCGCACACTTTGTATTTAAGATGATCGGAACATTAAAGTTGGTTCTATTGGGTAAAGCCCCCTAAACTATTAAGTTGTATATTAAAGTTGTAGCCGAGTTCCTCGACTATTAGATACTCGTCACTCAGATATGAGGAGTCTAAATATTAAAATATTTTAGCATACCTATAGAATCTTATCTCTTCTTCTTAGTATCTTCCCACGGGTAAAATTAAAACCAGATTATTTCATAGGGTTAGTGAAATCGAAAAGAATCCCCCGAAAAGTATTTACTTAAAATTTTAAACATCGATCTTAACTTATTGACACTACCACTGTACTTACATATGTACATACACGTATGTAAACCAGAATTTGTCATCATCATCAATGAACACATTGATAACATAATTTCGAGTGCACCTGACTCATCAGTTCAAAGGCGATTAACGAAATAACCTTTGATTTAAAAAAAGTCCATTACTAAAATAAAGTCTATTACTGTAATAAATTAAATTAGACCAATCTAATAGCCCGAAAGATAATAATTATAAACAAACAGATACGGTAACGAATACTAAATACAAACACTGAAGGTATGAACACTAAAGGTATGTCAAAAATATACAAATTGGGCTTTAATTGAACTGCGCGGCGGCATGGGCAAAATTTATCACTTGTCAAATTTGGAATGAACCGAAACTGATAAAACTGAAATATGAATACGCCATGTGTCCATTTTAGCCACTGACGACAGTTCTAGACTAAGTTAGAGCAGCCAAAATTTATAGACCTTTCGGGAAAGCCAAAAAAAGGGAAGGTAAGCACTGTCTTTCGCAATGTATTTATTGGCGAACTTGGCAGACATCCAGTTAGACGTTCTTTTCCTCGTTCTCCGTTAAAAGCTACCAGTTTCTTTCGCATAACACAAGTTTTCTGAACTCGATATGGGTGAGTATCCACTGGCACTGCATCTATCGCTGAAGCATTTGCTTATCATTATATAGATTTTACAATAACGAATTACATTTACTAAACCAAACCCTTTTTATGTCAAACAGACGCCAAGCTACTCTTCGTTTCCGGACTCATCATGATCCCCATGATATCTGGCGCCCTGACCTTCAATGCAACGCTCATATGCGGCCTGGTGGTCAACGGCACCAAGATGAACGATCCTCGGGCGTGCAACGCGTGGATTCAGTGCGTCGATGGGAGCGCAGTGAGTGGAAGCTGTGACAGTGGGCTCTTCTACGACCGGGAGAGCCAGAAATGCCTGAGTTCCAATAGCGTCAAGTGTCTGTCCAGTGATCCGTGCGCTGCTACACCCACCGGATTTGCGGCCGATCCGTACTCCTGCAACGGCTATTACTACTGCAAGGATGGCAAGGGGGCGCACGGAGTGTGCAACCCTGGAATGAACTTCAATCCGGGCACGCAAGACTGCATCCGGGATTTTCCGTGCTCGAACAAAATGGACCCGGATAGCTATTGCAATATTCTGCCGGACGGAGTCTTTGTCAAGGACACGGACAACTGCAACGGTTATCAGATGTGCTGGAATGGCCTGGTGATCAATGGAACCTGTCCGGGCACCTTCTACTTCAAGGCCTCCTCGGCCCAGTGCGATTATCCGCAGGACGTGGAGTGTGACTTCGTCCCAGTGCCAGATATCAGCGCAACGGGTGTATGTCCACTTACTGGCGGATTTATATCCGACAACAAGACCTGCAATGGCTATTACTACTGCAAGGATTTGGGCGATGGAGAATTCTCCCTGGAGCATGGCGTCTGCTCCGACGGAAGATTCTTCCTGGCCACCGATGGCGGCGCCTGTGTCCCGCGATCCAAGGTGAAATGTGGCTACAATCGCTGCGTGGGATTGGGCAATGCCACCATACAGCTGGCCAACGAGTCGGATGACGGATGCAGGGGCTACTCGATCTGCCAGGATGGCATCGTCATTGGTCAGGGAACCTGTCCCCAGGACGAGTACTTCGACGAAACTGCCCAGCGGTGCACCACCCAGGTCATATCCTATACCGCCTGCCAGACATCGGAGGGCACCACCCGAACCACCGTGAATGATGGCACCACCTCCGTTCCGGTGTCGTGAGCACCTGGGTTTAGGCACAAGTGGTGCTGTTATCAGGCGTAAGTCCCATAATAGATCTTTGCCTAGATTTCGTCGAATTGATTGGACTTCTCTCCTGCAGTAGCACAACACCAAGTTCCAAATTTCAATGTATCTAAGCATAAGTGATTATTTCGAAAAGCGTAGTATACGATTAAACTGTGGAAACCGTTTATGAGCTGACTCATTCGGGAACCCATAAGCTATATCTACAGGAAGCTATATCTTATCCCTCCTGCCAGAAAAGTCGGGTGATGAATGGCACATTCAGCAACATTTTGGTCTCGTGAGCGACCTACGCAATCGGTTTTAATTAGACAGTTTGTTTTTCGACGCCGATACAATAAATATAAGTGCTGTAATCAGTCGCCAAAGCGATTAGGTTACCAGATCACCTCTGGGCTAAGATTTCCCGGAACCGATTGCCGAGCAACATGCTCCGTAACATGGAAACCGTGATGTCATACCCAAGAACACTACTTGGTAAATTGGCGGTGGGAAATTACAGGCAGGTAGCCATGGCAACCCATTCATGGCTCTTGAGTGATATCAGCGAATATCACAGTTGTGCTTAACAGCATAGGAGGGCTGAATGGAAAAGTACGAACTTGTACTACAAAGTTGGGTATTCAAAGCACTTTCTTCAATGGGCAGCATATATGATAACGAGATAACTTATGCTGTTGCTTTTTCAGGAGTTTGTTGTATTGTTATGTAGTGGCAAATGGATACCAATGATTTGAATACTGGACCTACCCTACAAACAAATAGGTCATATAATGATGCCTTATTAAAATAAACATAATTGGTGTTTATGGATTGTTAATAACATATTGTCATTTCATATATACACTCATCCGCACTCCGCCGTCTTACTCAATCCATCAAACTTTATAGTTGAATTTAATTAGTGACAGTGATTAGTGGAAGACAGAAAACGACCCTTGCGCGTTGGACACATCTTGCTCGCCTCATGGCCAAGACGGAAATAACCGATCCCTGGAGCGCCGGGTGGCGAATTCATTATCGGACTGTTAGAAATCGGTTTGAAATTCTCCGAACCCTCTACTGGGGTACAATTTTAATTAAAACTGATAATTTTTGGGCACCGCAAGTGACACGAAAACAGATTGCCATGGCGCAGTTTTGATAGCAAAAGGGTTGCCAGAAGAATTTTATCACGCAGTCTTCGTTTCGCCGACTCCAAAAAGCATAGTATTCCTGCAACACTATTTATTCGAATTCACATATTATTGTTAAAATTTATGAAACATTGTCTATAAGAAGTAACTTTTTTAGGAACTACGTTTTTAAGCTTTTTAGACGGGGAAGGTAATGTATCGATCAATAAAAGCACAATAAGATGGAAATCTTCATGGAGCTAGATAGCGTCGATAAAGTACACATAAATTTCAGGTTTCAGTGTGGTGGATCCATATTCGTAAGTAATTCCCACCATGAAGTACATTAATTCCTTTCAAGCAATGCATTTTACCTCCACCAAGAATGGGATCGATTTATTAGGGATTTAAATTGGATGCGATTTGGTAAGGCCTACACGGAACAGGCGATGTAGTGGTAGTTGGTCTCCGTGCATCCCTGGTTGCGCTCGTCAAAGAAGTAACCCGTGGGGCACTGGCCCACGCTGACGGTCACTCCGCCGGAGCAACGTCCATAGCTCTGGCAATCGCCGGCTATGTTTACGTAGGAGATGTTGGTGCCCACACACCTGTCCAGCTGGCAGCGCACGTTGAGTCTGTCGCGGCACGAAAGCTTCTCGAAGTCGAAGAACTGGCCCAATGGACAGCTCAGGTGCTTGGGCTCCGTGTCGTGCTTGCCGGCGGAGGGGTTTCCGCAGATATAGTAGTGGGAGCAGGAATCCTCGTCGGCGAAGTAGCCAACGCGCGCGGATCCGGTGGCACTGTCCAGGCAGAAGGTGTTCTCCGGTGCCGGCAGGGCGGCGGTCTTGTAGCAGGACACCTCGGCCACATCCACGCAGTAGCCGAGACTCGCGTCGTATGCACTCGCCGCTGGACAGGATCTGCTGAGCAAGACCTCGCTGACGCACTCGTAGTACTGGTCACAATGGACGGGATCGGCCAGACGCGTGTTGTTCGGCAGCGATCGGCAGGCGGGACTGGCCCTCCTCGCCTGGCTGGTGGGACAATGGTACTGCTTCTCGTACACGCAGGATCGCGACACGGGGTGGAAGATCAGCTCGTTGGGACAGTTGGCCTTGATCTGCTTGTGGGACTTGCACAAGATGTAGCCGCGGCAATCGCTGCTGCTGGGATCCACGATGAAGGCGCCCTCCGTTTCGTTGGCGCACAGGTTCTTGTGCTGGTCCGCCATAGCGTTGGCATAGGGACACACCGTGGCGCTGGAGGATGCAAGGATGCAGCGACCCAGCTCCTTGTTGTAGTTCAGTCCTGCGGCACAGCCGCCCTGCTCCAGCACGCTGTTGTTGCTGGCGCACCGCACCCAGTTGTCGCAGGTGTTCGGTCGCAGGAAGCTGGTATCCTGCGGCAGCAGATCGCACATCTCGACCACCGACAGGTACTCAAAGTCCTCGATCACGCCGCCCAGGGCACTGGCCACAAACAGCAGCGACAGGACACCACTAGCTGCAAGGAGGAACGAAAATCGTGGAGAAAATCAGTCAGGAACAGGATGAAGTATCCAATGGGTTTACTACAATTAACATCTAAATTTGGGACCAATGGATTGAAAATGATTCTTTTTCCGGAAAGCTTTATCAACCTAACAGGTTTGACATATCTTTGCGGTGCTCAAAAGATCCCAAAAGATTTCTGCCGAAGCTCGTGTGCCACTTTGGTTTACCTCTATTCATGTTGTATATCCTTGGGTTAACTTGTATCCTGGTTTCTCGAACGTTCCGCTGCGTCTGTGCGACACTCACAACTCAAATGATACAAAATGATACAGCCCACTTCGCAGGCTGGAGCTCTTAAATATGCAAAAGGCCACTCTGCTCGGTTTTGTTCGGCGAAAAACAATTTCCAAAATGCACACGCTATCTCAATCAGAGGTCGAAGATAGCGCTGATTTTTTGTTTTTCGATTTTTGATTTTCTGATGTACGATAGCGGGGCCGCATGTAAATTACACGGCAATAACATCGGAATTGTCTTTTTCGTAGAACAGACTCCTGGTGGTGGTGGTATCGCATCGGTATCGCACCGATCAACGGCCCCAAACTGATAAGGGAATTGCATTTGCGCCATGACGGTTCTCGAACATCTGGGAACCCTTGGAATACTCATGCTGAGACCAGGCTCCCTGATTAGCTAAGCAAACATCTTGGCCCAAACTCAGCGAATATCCTAAAACACAGGTACACATATTCGCGAACTTCCGGAGTCCGGAGTCCGCACCAATGAACTGTGATCTTGGCAATTCATCCTTGAATACATTTACCCGTATGATGCTGTTACTCCATATTTGGATTTCCATATCGATAATTCAGGCGCATCTATATTCACGGAGTATCTTTGAAGTACAATATCTGAATGCTGACGTCAATCATGTTTATTTTTCCAGAAATTACCAAAGCAATGGGGTCTTACTGTTCAGCCTTCTTCTTATACTTATAGATATTGGGCATGGTATTTGGAAATATCCACTTTAGTTACCTATGGAGATAACAGAAACTATATGGACGCCATACGAAAAAACATGTAAACTCGGAATTTCGATGCCCAGTACTTAATGTACATTACTAAATATAGCCTATAGTTAACCTCTTTTTATAGATTTGTTGCCCAAATAAGCAAGCAATTAGCAACCAATTGCCCAACTCTAACCAAACGAATATCCATTGGTCGAAGCAAACATTTTTATTAGTTTCTTTGAATGCCTTCAGCACTGATATTTATGTATGCATTTCATAAGGGGTATCTCAGCAAATAGACATGGCTAGAGGAGGTGCGCGTGCAAAAGCCGTCTACTTACAAATGGCGTATTTGGGAATGTCTTTGGTGCAGATATTGTTTACCTCGTCGTAGTACTCAGCTGTAGAGGGACAATTCTCAGTTATTCCGCTGGAACAGATCGTGTAGCTCAGGCATCCCTTTACGGCCATGAATGGGTTGTTGACGTTCCCACATCGGTTTTCGCCACAGACAAACGAGGCTGGCGAGACGCACTGGCCCAGAGCACTATTGAATTGGGTACCGGTGGGACATTGGTTCCAATAGCCAGTGGCACCTTTAGCTGCACAGTAGTAGTAACCATAGCAGGTTTGCCCATCTGGAACGTACTTATAGGTAACAGCTTTCCCGTCTACTGTAAGGTCAACTGCATTTTCAAAGTCTTCTGCGTTACATGCAGTAGTACTTGGTTCCCCAACAGTAAACTGGCCAGAGTTTCCAGCGTTTGTGTTGTCGCCGGTGCACGGATTAGTCGACTGGCAGTTGCCAGTGGCTGCATTATAGAAGCTATCCGCGGTGGAGGAACATGCGGTCGAGGTGCCATATCCGTTGACGCAGTTGATGTAGTTGCCACACTTGTTCGGATCGCCTACAAAGATGTTGGACTTCATGAACCGACAGATGCTTGCCTGCGGGCAGGTGGGTCCCCACACACAGGATGTGGACGCTGCCGAATAGACGCCACCACTGCCGCAGCTGCCATAGGAGATTCCGCCCGCACCATCGCAATAGCCGTATGAGGTGCAGTTCAGCGGATCAGCCACATACATGGGAGATTTGACGTTGGAGCAGGTCTCCACGGCACTGGTGGAGCACGGCGTGGTAGTGGCGTATTCACAGCTGGCCGTCTGCGCGTTATACACCAGTCCCGCCCCACAGGTGCCCCAGGCCACCACCTGCTGGTCCTTGCAGTATCCCCAGGCATGGCAGTCGCTCGGATTGCCGACGTAGCCAGTGCCCGACCACTGTTGGCACAGATCCTGCATCGTGTAGCCGGTGGCCTGCGACGCCAGGAGAAGACAGGCTGCCACAGCACAGATCCTGACATTGAATGCTGAATCGGGGGAGACAGAAGACATTATGAGATGTGAGTTAGATCAAATATATCAACTAAAATAGGAAATGCGCAAGTTGTATTATAGTTGTACCACCTATTGCTGACTTCCTTTTTATATCCATTTGCTAGTTCTTCACTAAGTTCTTCCTTGGAAATATTTTCAACACAACCTTCGCTTGGAATTATCGCCTTGGAATTTATATATTAGATTGTTATAAAATTTAGCTAATACTGTTATCCTATTTGAATGAAATTAAGCTTAAGGAAGCTATTTCTGAAACTTATCGAACCTTTACAGGAGAATCTGGGCTAGCATGCTAACGTGCATCTACTAGTATACAAAGTTCACCCATTTTCGAAGCCACTTTTTCAATTTTAGCTGAAGCAAGACGGCAGAGATAAGTGTATCCTTTCTTCGAGCCAACGTACCTCCCATCTTGGTATGGTAATTTTTTGGGGACCAATCCGCTTGATAGACGACTGAAGCGAACGTTCCGATTTCGTTACTAACTCAATCAATTGCAGCCTTTGCGTTTTTATAGTAGGCGATTCGCGGTGCGAACAGGGTGGGTAATTAAAAATTGTCAGCCAGATAAGCCCGCTGACAGTAGGGCGTTAGTATCGAAATTAAAGCCTGATAAGATTCTAAGGTCTGGGGTAAACCACGCACCTTCCATCCTTCCGAAATTGTTGGGTTAGCGCCCTGTTCAACAGCGTTGGACGTCGAAAGTGAAACTAGAGCACCCGGCCAAAATGGACTGACTTATAAGCTGGAATCGGATCTTGGCCAGCGGACCTGTCCGTTTTATGTGTATGTGTATATATATAACTTTAGAAGTCGTCTATTTTATATTTTATACGTTTTTTCACATGACAGCCCTGGAGGAATTCGGATTATCAGCTGCTGATTGCGAACCCTCTTTGTCTATAATTGTTTTTTAATTTCAAAGAACCTCGAGGAGGCGGGGAAATGTCACGGCTCTTATTGATCACTCAGTGGTGTTTCCCTGGTATCTCGGTAGTAATTTCGGCAACACGACATTAGTTAGATATCTCAATTTGAATCGCACTGCAGCTCTTGACTTGTCTTTCCACTTCTCTGGAGGCTATCAGGTTCTAAGGAAAAATTACCGAATTACAAATGTTTATATTAATAGCTTGTCTATAAAATACTGCTCAATTTATTGAACGGAAAGTGGGGTCAATAATTATTATTTGTATATATTTAGTTACTTATATTAGTAATATTTATGTGAAATGTTAAGTTTCGGATGCGTTCGTCGCACAGTTGTATTTAAATTTGTGATATCACTAACACACTGAAATCGACCTATAAAAATAATAAATACGTATTTAATTTCTTTTGTATCATAACATCACAGAGTGGGGAAAAATTCTTAAGAATTACCAAACACTATATCAAAATAAGTGAGGTAGGAACATTCATAGGTGTAAAGTTTTTACTCTTGTCCAATTGGATCGTATTTAAAAGTTTTATTTTCAGTTTCATTGTTTTGAATCTATTTTATATCGCATTATTTTAATGTATCGCCCAAAAGCAGGTTTTGTGCGGTTTTAAATTCGCCGATAAGTATGCAATTACATTTGTATGAGTCAACTCATAGTACTCTTTCCAACTTCCAAGACCTTTTCGAAATATTTTGCTTTCTTATCTAACTGCACTAACAAAACAATTCTTCAACATTCCCAACAAATAATTCAAACTACGTTTTAGAAATTTTTATTTTTAGTTGGTAGAGTGCGTTTTCTATTAACCCAAAAAAACTAATGAATTTAACCAGCTGATCTTGCTTTTCCTATTACTTATATTTGATGGCTAAATGATATCTTATCTACTTCCTATTTGATTTACCGGTGAGCAATTGCCAATCTCCGAATTGTTTTTAAAATAAACATTCATTACGACTGATATTGGCCCAGTGCTTCAGACATAAAAAATTAAACTCAATTGGAGCAGTCCAAATGATTTTTGTATGCTCTAAGTGCTCCTTAAATGAATTTAGTGCCCAAAGGCAATTTTAGCTGCTCAGCTAAAAACAGCCAAATTAAGAAGAATATAAATCACTACACAAAATATTTCAGAGAAAAAGAAGCTTAAGAAAATCGATAGATTAGATTGTATTTTTCGCATTTGTAACACAGTAAGTAATAGGTAAATTACTTCGATTGCTCTTGGCGTAACCCATCTTACCCATTTTAATACCCCTTAAAGCCAATCCCTTATCTCGCTAGCAAAAATAAATGCTGTGGATTGCTATTGATCCTCTGATATAAGTATTCGTTGGTCGTCGTTCAAATTCAGTACGAGTTTGTGCTTCGTCCAAAGTTGAGCTGCGATGGAAAGTGAGTAGATTTCGAACTGCCATTGGCTAGTAACCCTATTTCGTTTTTAAATTTCAGAACCCGGAGCTATCCTGGGCGTGGCACTGCTGCTGCTGCTGCAAGCCCTAGATCTGGTGAATGCCCGGAATGAAGACATCTGCCGCTTGTTCTCCAATAATACGGTGATCCGAGATCCCGAATCCTGCAGTCAGTCGATCACGTGCATCGATTCCGTGAGCTACTACAGTAGATGTACGGGATCTACGCCATTTTTCGACAAGGACGCGGGCAAATGCGTAAAATCGCTGTCCACATCCATGTCCAGCTGCTCCATTTCCTGCGACGATCGGACCAGTCAATTCCTGGCCGATCCCAAGTCCTGCTACGGCTACTATTACTGTGCGGATGAGGAGACGCCCATGTACGGCACCTGTCCGCAGGACACCCACTTCAATGCCACCACCCAGATGTGTTCCCATCAACACGAATCGGACTGCACCACCAGTACCTTCGAGTACTGCAGCATTGTTAAGAACTCCGTAAACTTCGACAATCTGCAGGGCTGCAATAAGTATCACGTCTGCGAGAAGGGCGTCCTGAAGGACATGACATGCTCCAAAACCTATTACCAGGCTAGCACGGGCGAGTGTGTGGATAAGGCTCTGGTGGATTGCGATGCCCATCCATTGCCCACGGAAGTCTGCGGCAAGGCGGGTAAGCCCTACGAAAACAAGTTCGTCGCAGATGACGTCACCTGTCGCGGCTACTTCTACTGCGCCAAGCAAAAGGATGGCACCCCGGACCCGAATCCCATGTGGAGCCAGTGTCCCCAGGACAGATTCTTCGATGCGGCCAGCCAGATGTGCTTAGCCCCCACTGCGGTCAAGTGCTCGTTTGATCGTTGCGACGGTCGCACTGCTGATTTTGTGGAAAGTGACACAAAGGGGTGTCGCAGCTATCTGCGCTGCTCCGACGGAGTCACGGTGGGCGAGTACTCCTGCGGCAACTACTTCTTCGACGAGGAGCTGGGAGCCTGCACTCCCAGTGTCCAAACGTACACTGCGTGCAAGTAGTAAACGTGTACTTAAATAAAGCTCAAATTCCAAGCTATATTTGGATAGGGATTGGATAGTTTGGATTGCCATGGATATAGACAACATCAATACTGTGTTTTCTAACGAAGACATGTGTGAACTTTAGTTTTTTTTGGCGGGGCAGGTATCTAGAGGATAGGTTATTCTTGAGGTTGGCGCGATCTAAGCATTTTTATAAGTACCTAAGTTTTATTTTGGTTGCTCCAAAGAAAAGATGAAACAGTTAGTCAAAATTGGATTAATATTAGTTACTAAAATGTATATTTAACAAAAAAGACGTATACTTCAAAATTCGAATCACTTATACCTGATGTGTGAAGAACACCTGCATTTTGATTAATATACTATATAACATTCCTAAGACAATTCAGCAAAAAACAAGAGATAAGCTATATTCGAGTTCGCCGACTATCAGATACCCGTTACTCAGCTAGTGGAATTATCGGTAGAAATTTATGGGGAAGGGAAATAAAACGAAAATAACTTAAAATTACAGTTTTGGGCGGTTTGTGGGCGTTGGAGTTTTTTGGGAACGCTTTCTTCTGATTGTTACATACTTTTCAACAAATCTGGTATATTCTTAGTTATACTCTACTCTTTTTATATTTACTTTACTCCAAATTCACAATATCATGGAAACTTTTCTTGCAGTTGGCATTACTGGAATAGCACACCTTCTTGAGAGACCATAAATGATAATCACTTTTACAATCAGTGCTTTGAAAAGTTCTGATTTTCCAAACAGAAACCAATTGAAAGCGCCAGTAGAGTGCAAGGCAGTATTTTTGTTTATAACTTTTCCATATTTACGGCAGCCATACACACAATAACTTGTGACCGTTTAATCGTATCAGCGATAAATAATTATAGTTTAATTTATTAACAGCCAATGAACTACCGTGCATAGCTCTACATAGAACTAGTGGCACTTTCATTTTCGATTTAAGTTTTCGTGCAGCTATGCCAAACAAACTAGTCGTTAAAGAAATTGATGGCAGATGTCTCGATTTCAATCACCAATTACTAGCTACTTGAAGGGTCCTACGTTCTTCGCACAAAATCGATAAGATTGGCTTATAATAGGGCAATAAAGCGGCGGTATCAGCAGAAGCAGTGGCTGCGATAATGTCTGCTAGTTGATATAAGCCTCTTCCATTCAAGAAACTCCATTTAGTCGGGAGTAATTAGTTTCCTAGGCCACATCAAGCCACTCGACTTGACTCGATCTATTTTGTTGCAAGTTAAATCAAAATTTGCCAGCAATCTGCCATGCTGAGTGAGTCTTATCAACCACCATAAATATTCACACAGATTCAGCCCTCATATTTGTAAACAGACATATCAGAGACAATTAAAATATATTCTCTAGAAATTGTTATTGCATACAGCGCTAGGATTCGCTGAACAAATTGTTTGATTAAATAATAACACCATAAATCTAACTAGATAGATAGTTTTAAGCATTTCAATTTACTTTGTGGCTCGTAATAGATATTATTACGTTTTGAGGCGGATTTTCAAAGGCTTGCTGGTATCATTCTAACATATCATTTATATTTCCCAGACCTTAAACTTGGAGTGCTTCTGGGAAGCCTTCTCTTGGTGGCTTCTTTCGCTCCTTCGGCGAGTGTTGGCGACTACGAGGAGCTGTGCCGTCTTTTCAAGAACGGCACCAGGATTCGTAAGCCCGGCACCTGCGACCAGTACATCCAGTGCTACGATGGCGACGGCACCCTGCTGACTTGCCCCTCCAACCAGCTCTTCAGTCCCAGCGAGGACAAGTGCGTGGGCACGATGGCCAATAGCAACAAGTACTGCGGCAATCGCTGCGAGGGATTGGATGGCGAATGGGTGGCCGATCCGACCGAGTGTCGCAAGTACTTCTACTGCATGAACGGCGTACCGCTGGCGGGGATGTGCCCCGCGGGCCAGCACTTCGATGAGAGCTCTCAGGCCTGCCTATATGGCGTGGACTCCATATGCGTGGATGTGAACAACATTTGTGAACTGGTGGCGGAAAAAACCAAGTTCCGGAACGAGAAGGACTGCAGCTACTACTATGAGTGTGACAAGAACGGGAAGCATGCGTCCAAGAGCTGTAGCACAAGCAAGAAGCGCGAATATTTCGATGTGGAAAGCGGCAACTGCGTGGCCCCCAACAAGGTGGAGTGCTCCGCCCACTCGAAGGAGGGCGTCTGCTCCAGCAGCAACGTAGTGAAATATGTATCGGACGAGGCCACCTGCCGTGGCTATTTCGTCTGCAAGCCCCTCCATCCTGTAGCCGACCTGGATCCCCTGTGGATGCAGTGCCCCGAGGGCTACTTCTTCGACCAGGATAGGCAGCTCTGCGGCACGGCCACCTCGGTGGTGTGCACCCAGAACAGATGCGACGGACGCGGCACGATGCTGGTGACTAGCAGCAACAACGACTGCCACAACTACATCCGATGTGTGGACAACAAGGAGGTGACGGAGGAGACCTGCCACCTGGACCACTTCTTCGACGAGAGGGTGGAGGCCTGCTCCTCCGAGATCATCTACGACAAGTGCTGCGATGGTCGCTCTTAGATTTAGGGATTCAGTGGGTGTACCTATAAATATAAAGTTCAAAAACGAAGCAGTTGTTTTTTATTGGCTTTAATATTCATTGATCATTGTATTTTATTTGCAAAGCTTATATATTTATATATATGTGTATATTATATACATATTTGGGTAGAGTCGGACCAAACTATACTGCGTTTTTTTCCCATTCCTGGGGGCAATTCATTTTAATTTAATCTTATCTTAACTTTAATATTTATAACTATGCAAACATATTCGTAGCCTTGGCAAAGACATCGCTTTTCGAATTAATGAAAAATAGCAAACACATAAATAATTTACATTTAATCTTCAAGTAATCTTCAAGGCTGTGTTAAATATATAGTACATGTAGCGAGTATGGTAAAAATAGAGTTACAATACATTTCTAATCTGGGTGTGAAGTGAAATTGAAGCGGAGAGATGTCGGTATAATGAAGTTGTTTCTAAATTTAGAAACAATTAATTCCTATCTTTCTTGTGAGCAGCTACCAAGATGTAGAACAACATCCACTTGGCTGGAATTGTGTTTGGAAATACCACCTAAGATTAATGGAAACATTTTGTTAACTGTTTCTGGTTATCTAGAAAACGTATTTAAATAGATTTGCCATAAAGTGGGAGCTAATGCTTCTAAGATAATAAGAACTAGATTGCACTATAATAGCATAGTTACTTAGCATAGGCCAACGGAAAACAAAAATACAACAGCAAGTTATCTGTTATCCCGAAAACAACTTTAGTTTTTCATTTCCCAAACAAAATTGCCGCTGTGTTGTTGCCTTTTTCAAATCTTCAACGACCGTTGCATTCGAAATTTAAATTTTACCGATTCGGCTGCAACTGTTATCGATAAATACGCCCGCGATGCGATTTCAGTAGTAGCACTGCGTTTTGCGGGTTGTTGTAGTAAAAGTTTTACGCATGTTACCGCAAACAACTTATTAAGTCACCTTCATGACGTCTTTTAACGCTTAAATCAAATTTATGTTTCTAATAATGTTTTTTCTAATGCTCATAAAATGAAACCTCGCGCAGAGTGACCAAATGCTGATTAGCCGCACCGGTACCGGTATGTTGGCGCCGTTGTGGGGCTGCCACACCGCCAAAACCATATAAACAATTTTTCCATTTTGCAGTTTCGAATGTCGGAAAATCAATCTATAAGCTAACGTAAAATGAAAAGCAACGCATGGATCGACTGAAAAGGAAATCGAGAATACTTAACTTTATTGAAATCAGACAAGCAGCGAGTTGGGATCAAAAAACTGTACCCGCAGTCCGATCATCAAAACGTGTAATAATAAAATCACTGAAACAATCGCAAAAATATAGTAAAAATAATGCGACAGCATTCCGTTTTGGTGCGCTAAAGAATTGGTGATTTTTGAGCGTAAGCTAGCCGTATGAGCTCGACCAATATTTTAACGGGTTCCACTTTTGTAGTGCCGACTTTTCAGTGTCCCGGTGGCAGTTCCATAATCCGGTGATGAAACCCACCCAATCCGGAGGCAGTAGCTCTAAGATGTCCGAGCCCATTGAGTATGTGACGCTGATTAGCGACGATTCTGATGGTGAGCCCTCGCCGAAAAGAAACGCCAATCCCCCTTCGACGGCATTGTCAGCTCCCAATCCTGGTCAGAAACAAAAGCACCCGGATGAAGACTCCAATGACGCACCTGCCACCAGCGATGAACGACGCACAAGTAGGCGCAATCGACCAAAAGTGGATTACAGCAACAGGCCCAGTGGAAGTGGAGAAACCGGCTCCAGTGAAAAGTCAGGATCGGCATCCATCGGAGCTAGCAACCAGCAGGCGGAGCGTCGCAGCCAAAACCAAAACCAAACCCGCAAGTCGGACGGCAATGTCAATTCCGTTTCCGGTCCCAATTCCGGAAATTCCAGAACGTCCCAGAACGGAGATTCCAAGGACCGGGATGCCGGCACGCCCACAGTTTTGTCTGGCCAGGAGGGCGCCGTTTTCCAATCTCGCCTGCCCTTTAACAAAATGACGCCCAACGAGGAGGCCTGCTTTCCGGACATCAGTCGCTCGGGCATTCTGGGCCATCGGGTATTTCTCAACATTCGTAACAGCCTGCTGCACATGTGGGTGGACAATCCCAAGGTCCAACTGAGCTTTGATAACGCATTGAAGAACCTGCCGCCGCCATTCGACAGCGAGCCCAGTTTGGTAAGGCGAGTACACTCGTTTCTGGAGCGTCATGGATTCATTAACTTTGGCATCTTTAAGCGACTTAAGCCATTACCCACCAAAAAGCTGGGCAAAGTCATTGTGATCGGGGCAGGGATCTCCGGCTTAGCAGTGGCGCATCAGTTGCAGCAGTTCGGTATGGATGTGATCGTCTTAGAGGCGCGCGATCGAGTAGGCGGACGGATAGCTACGTTCCGCAAGAACAGCTATATTGCCGATCTGGGAGCCATGGTTGTAACCGGCGTCTATGGCAATCCCATGACGATCCTAAGCAAGCAGATCGGTATGGACTTAGTGCCCATCCAGCAAACATGTCCACTGTACGGCCCAGACGGCAAACCCGTGCCCAAGGAGAAGGATGATGTGATCGAGAGAGAATTTAACCGATTGCTGGAATCAGCCAGCTACCTGTCCCACCGCCTTGATTTTAACTACGCCGGCAATTGCCCAGTCTCGCTAGGTGATGCCCTGGAGTGGATAATCAGTATGCAGGAGATGCAGGTCATGCACAAAAGGGCGCAGCACATGCAGGAGATCATAGCTATCCAAACGAAGATCATCGAACATCGTCATCGGCTGAAAAGCGTTAGAGAATCCATCGCCACGCTAAAGAATGAGCACTTGGCAATGATCAAGCAGCGAAAACCCAAAGGCGCAGATAGCGATCTTAATTACGGACGCCAAGAGTTTAACATACGGAATACTCAGATCAAAATGGAGGAAACAGTCAGGATGTTTCACGAGCTCTATGCCGCTGAAAAACAGATGGAAGCCAAGCTCCACGAACTGGAGCAAAACCGACCTAGGTAATTAGCCCGAAAACTTTAATAGCTTGAGTTTAAGCTTAATAAACTGCATTCTTGCAGCGATGTGTACCTCTCGTCCCGCGACCGCCTCATCTTGGACTGGCACTTTGCCAACTTGGAGTTTGCAAACGCCACCAGACTGAATAATCTATCCCTAAAGCACTGGGATCAGGACGATGACTTTGAGTTCATTGGTCACCACACAACTGTGCGGAACGGTTATTCATGTGTTCCTGTGGCTCTTACTGAAAACCTGGACATCCGCGTCAATAGCGCTGTCAAGGAGATTAAGTACGGCAGCAAAGGCGTGGAAGTGGTGGCGGAGAACATGAAGACATCCAATTCGCAGATGACCTACAAAGCAGACCTGGCCGTCTGCACACTTACTCTGGGCGTGCTCAAAGTAGCTGTAGCTCATGAGGAGTCGCAGCAGAGTAACACAGTCAAGTTCGACCCGCCTTTGCCGGACTGGAAACAGCAGGCCATCAAAAGGCTTGGATTCGGGAATCTCAATAAGGTTGTTCTATGCTTTGATCGCATCTTTTGGGATCCCAACGCGAATCTCTTCGGACACGTGGGCAGCACGACGTCCAGCAGAGGTAAGTGGTGTGTCTTTTTGCTTGAAGTTTCATTCATTCTGTTGCATATTAATTGCAGGAGAAATGTTCCTGTTCTGGAGTATAAGCTCATCTCCGGTGCTGCTCGCGCTAGTCGCCGGAATGGCAGCGAATCTTGTGGAGAGCGTGACGGACGACATCATAATCGGGCGATGTATGTCAGTGCTGAAAAACATCTTCGGGAATACCTCTGTTCCACAACCCAAGGAGACGGTGGTAACGCGCTGGCGTAGCGATCCCTGGGCCCGGGGGTCGTACAGCTACGTCTCCGTGGGTTCCTCGGGCAGTGACTACGATCTGCTGGCGGCACCGGTTATTCCGCCGTCCAGTAAAGATGTGGAGGGACTGCCTCGCCTATTTTTCGCCGGCGAGCATACGATACGGAATTATCCGGCCACTGTGCATGGGGCGTACTTGAGCGGATTGCGCGAGGCGGGCCGAATTGCAGATTACTATCTCGGCTATCCAGAGGGAACTCCACCGGACATTGGCTACTCGGTAGCTGAGGCGGCCAATCTTGTGTCCGTGGGAAATGTTGTTAAGCTGCGCGACCTCTCACCCAACCTTTCTGACTCCCCGTCGTCAAAGAAGTCGGAGGACAATTCAAACTCAAACACTGCCGACTCTACGGAGCTACAGTAACAATGTATTTAGCTTGTTGGACTTGGACCCCACCAATTACTTCTGGAGCGTTTAGTTTTTGTATCATACAACTGGGGCTCGCTGAAACTATGCTAGACCTATGTAAATACCTAAGACTATTCCACTAAGCATGGACCACTTTAGTTATTATGCAACCAATTATTTTATTACCTTTAATATATAAATTAAGAGAAAAAAGCAATAACACCGAACATAGCAAATCCTTTTCAGTGTTTCCTTCAGTTCAAAGTAACAAACCTTTGGGCGTCTATAATTGAGCAACGAATGCAATTATCTATTATAACTTATTGAACTTGTTTTGGTAAAAGGCTGTTACCCGTCAAAAGGCGAGTACTTCTGTTAAGAAATTGTGTTACCTAAAGGTATGTTTTCAATCATTGCGTAATTTAAATTTGATAAAATTGTAAGTAAATTGTAATTGTAAGTAAATTTGTAAGTAAAGCTATTTCATTTTACTTTTCAACTTGAAAACACTTGAAACATATTAACGTCTTCTTGTTATCAATAAAAATATGAAGTAGATATGTTTCCAAATTATGACATTTCAGATTAGAGACTTATGTGTAAACTATAATGTAAGCTCAATCCTTCGACTATTTATTTGGCAGTGAAGCAACAATTTTACTTAGAATATCAGTTGGTACTTCATTATACCTCCCAATTAATGGGTATCGAAAAG